CATGTGGAACCTCCAAGACATCACAAAGCCCTGGACACAGCTTGCTGAGAGCCCTCAGTCCCCAGATGAATAGGAGACTGGGGCTGGGCTAGCCATTTGGGCTGGGAGCACATCTTCAGCTCTCTGTGCCTGGAAGAGGCCATTCTGGTTCTGGTTCCGGCATAGATATGGGCCTCAGCTCCCTCCCTGCCCCTGATCAGACACTGCTCACCAGGTGGTGCGCTCCTACATCCAGAGCGAGTTTGCGAGTGTCCGCACCTCCAACTCCATCTTGGACCTCTTCCGAAGCCCAGCCGTCCGCAAGGTCACCTGCTGTCTCATGGTGGTCTGGTAGGTGATGGGCCCAGGCCCTAGCCTTTGACTTGGTGGGGGCGTGACTTCTGCCCCCACTGTCAAACTCTGTCCCCGTGCCATGAGCAGGGGAGACTTGTGAATCCCTCTCAGCCCGAGCTCCTCTGAGATGTGGTGACCATGAGATGAGGCGCTGACCTAGCCAGGGCCGCAGGTCTCACCTGGGCGGGGTGCAAAGAAAATACCCAGGCTACAGTCTTATCCTATGGGCCCGTGAATGTGTCCACTCTGAAAAAACACTTCTGGGTCCAGAAGGGAACAAAGGGAAACGACAATGTCCACGCACATGACAAGTATCCTAGCAGCAGGTGATATTAGGGGGCTTTTAATGTTGTCAGAGAGGAATTCCTGACAGGTTCCTAAGCATAAAGGTGTGGAATGGCTGTAAATGCAAAAGCAGCCCCAGTGCCTTAGCACTGAATGCTAGTAGACACCAGCAGGGCTGGTGCAAAATGACCAGCTGAGTTTCTCTCCGCTGGACACTTAGCTCACTGGCATTGATATTTATGAAGCAAGGAAGCAAGCTATTAATTATTGTCATTCTCTGGTGCTGACCCCAGCACTCTTTTAGTAGCTACCTGCTGAACTGAGGCCAGACTGCTCCTGTGACCTCCAGCCAGTCAGACCCATGGGACCTGTTTGTACTTTTATTTTTTTGTTTTGTTTTGTTTTGGTATGTAGTTCAGGTCACCCTTGAACTCACTATGTAGCCCAGGCTGGCCTCAAACTCACTGTAATCCTTCTGCCTCAGCCTGCCGAGTGCTGGGATCACAGGCTTATGCCACCACACCCGGCATAGTTTCTCACTTCTATACTGGCCTTCAAGGTGCTGGTGAGGATCAGAAGTTAAGGTGAATGAATGTAGTGATGGTGCACGCTTGTAATCCCAGCATTTGGGAGGCTGAGGCAGGAAGATTGTGAGTTTGAGGCCAGCCTGTGCTACAACACCCGCTTCCCCTCCCCGCTAAAAAAAAAGAAAGAGAAAAGCTAAGGTGCACAAATGAAGCAGTTACGTAGCCCCAGAAGGTGTTTGGTACAAACACCTGCCTCTGTTGTCTAGTTTGTGTTTGGGTTGGGGATAAGGGACGGTCCCCTACCTTAGGCACTGAGAGAGGTTCTACCCACCAGGGTCACCTGCAAGGCAGCTCTGGGTAGCAGGAGAAGGGACAACCCGCAGTGGCCTGTGCTGGCCTGGGCTTACCCTCTGCACCTAGCTCCTTCTTTACCTTTGTCTTTCCAGTAGGAAGAACAGGTTTTGAGTTGCAAATGAGATTGAAAATTTTTTTCTTGGATCTGTCTGGAAAGAGTAAGGTTCATTTGTGGTAACAAGGGACGTGGGAACAACCAGCGACCCTGCCGGCAGGTGGGGTGACTGGCTTGTGGGAGCGGGTCCACGTGGGTTCAAAACCCCTGCCCTGCTAGCAGCTGCCCCAGCCTAGCATGATTTGGTTCAGTTTGCACACAGCAGAATTAACACACGCCCCTCTCCCCAGTCATGGCTGTTTTTGTTGTTGTTGTTTGTTTGGTTTTGTTTTTTGCTTTTTGAGACAGGCTATGCAGTTCAGGCTGACTTTGAACTATGTAACCCAGGGTAGCCTCAAAATCGCTGCAATCCTCCTGCCTCAGCCTCTCAAATGCTAGGATTATAGGCATGTGCCACCATGCCTGGCTAATTTGTGGTAATTTGTTACAACAGAAACAGGAAACTACTAGAGAAACTTCACCCCTTTTACTATTGACAGAAATTTGGGGTCTTGGGGCTGGGGATTTAGCTCAGCGGCACAGTGCCTGCCTGGCAAGTGCAAGGTTGTGAGTTTGATTCCTGGTACCAAAAAAACAAAACAAAACAAAACAAAACAAAAAAGAAATTTGAGTTCTTCCCAGTTTGGGCTATTAGAATAGTATTGCTGTAAGCATTCTTATATATTTTTGTTTGTTTGTTTGTTTTGTTTTGTTTTGTTTTGTTTTATTTTGTTTTGAGACAGGGTCTTACTATGTAGTTTAGACTGGCCTTGAGCTCACTGTGTAGCCCAGGCTGGCCTCAAACCCATAAATTCTACTGCCTCAGCCTCCTGAGTACCACGATTACAGATATGCACCACCATACCCAGCTTCTTGTACATTTCTTTTGGTGAAAATACACATGCACTGGGGGTCAGGGATGTAGCTCAGTGGCACAAGCACCTGCCTGGCAAGTGCAAGGTTCTGAGTTTGATTCCCAGTACCAAAAAAAAAAAAAAAAAGAAATACAATGTATTTCTGTTGGATATATACCAAGGATTGAAATCTCTGGACCCTGAGGTGTGGGTATGCATCTCTGTAGCAGAGAGAAGCATGCTAATTTCCAAAGTGGTTGCACTAATTTACACTGCTGTTGGCAGTGAACATGCCAGCATGAGAGCTCCAGCTGTGCCACATGCCCAGCCACGTATTATCTTTCATTTACATTTTAGCCATTATCATGAGCATGTAGTGATGTCATACTATAATTTTAATTCACATTTTTCTGCTGCCTAGTGCGTGTAGAAATAGTTTCATACACTTAGCATTTTGGATGTCTCCTTTTACAAAATGCTTATCTAAGACTTCTGCCAAATTTTTCTTTTAGGTTATATTTTTCCTTTATTGCCTTATAGGATTATATTTTTCTAGATATAGTTTTTTTGTATATTGGGTTTTGTAAACACCTTCTAGTTTATACTTTCTCCTTTTTATAAAATTCTTATTTTGCAATAAATGTATACTGAAAGAAAAATTGCAAACATAATACAGACACTTCCTATACATCCACCACCCAGGTTTCCCTTATATTATCTCTCTCTCTTCTTTTTTTTGGTCTTTTTGAGACAGGGTCTCGCTATATAGTTCAGGCTGGCTTTGAGCTCACTTTGTAGCCCAGGCTGGCCTCAAACTTGCAGTGATCCTCCTGCCTCAGCCTCCTGAGTGCTGGGATTACAGGGGTACATCACCATGCCTGGCTTGTTCCTGAGCATATTAAGCTTAATCACTTGCTTAAGGTGATAACTACTCTGTTTCTTCACTGTAAAGTTAATGTCCTCTTTCCATATTCTATTACTTGAAAGTGAGTCCATTCTATATACAAGGGAGAGAGGAAGGGG